AAGAGTGTGGATATTATATTCTAGGATATCCTCGGCATTGGCATGGCTTGTCTCTCTTTCTGAGCTGTGAAGTCTCTCTCTTTGATGTTCTAGATAAAGATGGAGGCAGATACTCAGAACCCATCTCAAAGTTACAGGTTTGGCTATGTGACTCTTCAGTTTGTTCTTTTTGCTACAAATTGTTTAAACCCTTTTCTGCTTTTCATGTCATGGATTTGATGTTGCTGTTCCTGTGATCCCATATACTATTGCCGTGTCTTAAAACTCAGATGTTTGACTTATACAATTGATTAAAATTAAAGGGGTTTGGTTTGGTTAAATATAGTAATTGAATATTGATGCTTTAAAACATTCATTTCAATAAAGCATAAAAGTGATGGAATTTACTGTTATCCGCGTATTTGGAGAAGGTTATATGTGGGAGTATTTAGATTTTGTTGCATAATATGGGTCTGTCTGGAATAACTTCCCTAGAAGTTGGATTAACATTTCTAAAACCACTTCTACGAGAGGAAAAATAAGAAGAAAAAATGAAATAAGTTGTTCAATAAGCTAAAATTATCTAATGTATAAGTTGATTTGTAGAAGTTTTTTCCTAATAACTTCTCCACAATCTTATTTTTAAGTTATGTATAAGTTTTAATTTGTGGAGAAACTTATTTCAATTCTTTTTAGTATTTTTTTTCCCTAAAGTGTTTCTTGAGAAGTTTGTCCAAACAGGTCCTAAATGGGATTTATGGCTTTTGAATCTGGTGGTTCTAGCTTGGTATTTTTGTTTCTGTTATGTGAAGCCTTCAATTAAGTAACCTGTACAAATGAATTAAAGAAATTAACGGAGATTTGGGGAGACAAAAGCACTTTCATCGGTGAGACTTGAAACTGTTTTGTTTCCCCATTGGGAAGGTTCTATTTTGGGGAAGTTCTAAACTAGTGATTGTGTTTGTTTTATAGAAAACATGAATTTGGATACACAAATGGTTTCCTCCACTAGTGCACTTTCAATTGTGCTTTCTCACATTTTTCTATCCAGATTGTAGCACCATTCATGGGTATAATTACAAAATATTACTAGTATTGTGTATTTGTTTTAGTTCAAAAATTGCTCAGTTTGTAGGGTTGGAACTATTAAAACGCTGCTACATTACCCACAACAGAAATATGCTCTGTTGCTTATATTCTAAATGTACAGCTCTGTTTGCAACTTTTTTCTGTTTGTAATAAATATTTCTGCATCATTGAATATGGTGTTTGAATTCTTTGTCATCAGAAAATCATATTGTGGCTTGCATATTAGACATTCTCAGTGCATATCATTGTGCTCCCAATTCTTTGTGAGGTTTTATCTTGTTATACAAATGAGATTGGTGACACTCACAAAATTTGACCAATACTATATTTTACAGACACAACTTGAGTGTTATATAAGGGTATGAATATCATATCTGACTAATCATTAGGACTCTTGGGTGTAGACACCAATGTAAAACTTTGTTGAATCTTCATGCCATGGATCATCGGCTCTCAGGATATCTGCATCATATGGAGACCCATAAAAATGTTTCTTTTGAAAATTGTATTTTTCAATTGTGATTACTACATTTTTTTTTCTTCAAATCACTAAGCTTCGTAAGGCAAATGAAATTTTGAACCTAACGTGTCACTGAATGCTCTAAACATTGACAGCGTAAAAGTGAGCTGAATAATCATGTTTCATTTGTTGGAGATCCCATATCAATTAATGAAATGTTCATACCAGTGTATATAAGTAAGAAACAATACTTACCTACAAGTTGATTTTATAAGATTGATTTAGATTGAAATACATTTTCTTAAGATGATATCAAAGTTTATTGTAGCAAGTGTTATTGGACATGTTGGGCCACCCATTATTGGATGTCCAGTTCTCAGAGTTAGGCTCCAATCCACTTTCTTAATATCATCATGCCTAAGATATAATTATTCCTTTCCTTTCCTCTAATTGTGAATGCTTCAAAGTTTTTTTTTTTTTTTGCCTCTTAATGATTTATTTGTTGTTTTCATTGGCATATTCCTTTAAGATTCTGTGTGGATGGAGTGCATGAGACCAACATTATTGAATGGAACAAGAAAAGAAAATTACAGAGTGATCAATTGGATTTGCTTAGACCAAAGCATAAATGCTGGGATGGGAATCCCTCTTCCGAACATGCTTTAATATTCGACGAAAATCCAGCGTTAGATAGCATGCAGATTTATGTACTTGAGGGTAGAACAGACGCAGAAAGCTCAGAATCTGAATCTGAATCTGTGAAAGACAGCAATAGTGTCTCTCAAGATTCTTTTACTGCCATGTCTGTAAATCAAGATGGTAAACATGTCGCTGATTCTGCAAAGACATACCAATATGAGAGACCTTCCACTTCTTTGGTTGGTTGTGATGGCTATAACAATGTCAAGGATAATCACCACTCTTTAGATGAATCTGCAGTTGATAAGGAATGTTCAGGTGAAGCACACACATCTTTTTACAAAGAATGTAATCCATCTTATCATTATGCTGATTTACAAGCTCTCAAGAATCTTGAGGAGCAGATTTTAGAAATTGAAAGCCGTAGAAGTCACGTGTACCAAGAAAATGCCAAAGAAAGTACTGAGGAGTCCATAGATATGGAATTTGAAGAACGTTTTTCCCAAGGGGAAAATAGTAACATGTATGTCCTTTCATCTGGAAGATGGAATTTAAACAAAGGTATACTTCATGCTTGACAGTTACTACTGTTAGTGAGGATAGGATCATTTTGTGTTCATCGAAATTTTGTTACAATCTGTGTCTTGGACACCAAATTTTCAGTTCATAATTCCTTGATTGATATGTACTTATGTTTTGGTTTCAGAGGCTCAATCAAGCACAAGGCCACCAACAATTGATCAAGAATTTGAGCAGTACTTTTCCATGCTTATGCTTTAGGAGAGACTACTTACAAAGGAGATACATGCATATATTTTTTAAAGAGTTAAATGGCTATGCATTGGTGGTGTAAAATACTTTTACCGTGTTAAGCAACCACAATTCACTACTGATATGATCTACTTATTTATTGTATAAGAGTCAGTTTGGGTAAAATTCTCCAAAATTACTTCGAAGAGAGAAAAATAGAAGGAAAAAATGAAATAAATTTTTTATAAACTAATATGTAGAAGTTTTGTTTTATTACCTTCTCTAAAATCTTATTTCTATCTCATGTATAACTTAGTTTTAACTTATGAATTAGTTTATTTTAATTTTTCTCTCCTAAAAGTATTTTTGGAGAAATTTATCCAAATAGTTCTTAAGTCAGCAAATCCAACATAGATGGTAGTTTATAATTGAATAACTGTGTAAAACTACTGTTGGTGCATAGCCTATTTTCTGTTTTTTAAAGTAACTACCTATATCCATTGCTTGTTTGAAGGTTTCCTGAACTTCTTGTTCTGATGACTTTTTAACAACTGTGTAATGTTGTTATTTATAGTTTTTGTTGTTCTTTTTGTTTATTTCTGACCCTCACCATACCCTCCAAACTGTAGTTTGTAGGTAAAGGGGCTTATCCTGCTGGATAATGGCTTTCTTCCTTTAATATATAATCATCCAACATTTCATCAATGGTAGGAACTAGTTACTGATTAAAAATAGTCTTATAATCCATGCACATTCACCATGTTCCAACTAACTTTCTTTTCATTTTTTTTTTTATCAAACAACTTACATAATTATCTTATTTTCCATTTTTTTCGTTTTTATTTTTAATTAACTTTCTTTCCTAAACCAAATACATCCCTGCTAATAATAATTTGTTACATTCTTATTTTGATTGTTTGTAAACAGTGGGCATAGCTATTGTCCCATCCAATATTTCATTAAGTAGTTATATTTTTCTAGGGATATAGCATGATAAATAATACTTCGATTCATCTATAAGTGTTGATGACTTGCATTATTTTACAAGAATCAAGAAAAATTATGAATAGATACAAGATGATACTAATTTTAAAAAATTAATTTTATTATTAATTTTCTTTGTTAAAAACAATTCAACATAACTATCTAAAAAATATTATAAGGTGTATAAATGAAAATAAAACCAATACTACATCAAAAATTTAAAATGACACTTTTTTTTAGACTTTTTTTATTTTCTTTTTACATGACATTTATCATAGAACAGAAAAAACTTCGTTTTGGATCGAATAAAAAGCATAGGGTAAATTATGTGACCACGTGTAAATTGTTCTGTAGTTTGTGTTAAGAATATTTATCGGGTATAGCTGAAGACTATTTTTTTTTTTAAATACAAAAGTCACTTAAATAAATTTTGCCTTTCTCTACAAAACCTTTATCTATACTCATCAATTCTTTTATAAATATGTCTGAGTTTAGTTTTTTAAAGAAATATTAAAATATACATATGATAGTTAATAATGTCATAACAATAAATTTTCTTTAAAAAACTAAAGTGTGTAAAATAATATATTTAAAAATAACAAAATGGTTTGAACTCGGTCAACTTGTTCAACTTATATTTTCTTCTTATAGTACACTAATCCATCTTATTTTAACGCGTATTGTCAAAAATAGATTAAAGATGGGTTTGAGGTAGGTCAACCCTTTTTTTTATATTCTATTATTTTTTTAGTAAGATATCTCTATTATAAATTTTAAATAAATACTACTATTAATTCTCATCATTTTAAACTTATATATATATATATATATATATATATATGCATATTAACAAAGTGTAAATAGTCTTTTTAATTATTTTTATGAATTTATTTATTTTATTTATTGTGTTTATATAAATTATTATTAAAAATTAAGTTAATTTATTTAATTTTAATAAATACTATATGTAAATAAAATAAAATAAATAAATTTTAGTTATTTAGTGGGTTGACTTCTCAACACATCACGGGTAAACATGATAAGTTAGAATTTTCATCCATTTTTTTAAGTAAGATAGGATTAGTTAATCCATTTTGTCAATCGAAAATAGTGATTGTTTATTTGATCAATTTATAAAAAAAATAAAAATATGCTATGTTATTTCCTAATGGCGACATAGATTATTTAAAAAATTATGAAATCAACAAATGAGATAAAAAATAATTTTGAGAGATTAAAATTAAATTAAATCATATTGATAGTAATTAAAAATTTATTTATTTCTCCTTCTTCAAGTAAAAATCATGGATTTATTTATTTCTGAACATCTTTGGTTACAAAAGGCAAACTCACATGATTTCAAATGGTCAAAGACAAAATCTGATTGGTTGACGTAGTAGTTAAGCATCTTATATTTGTAAGTTTGTGGAGACGTTTTATTTAGTAAAAAATTTGTGTTCAAAACTCTTCATGTGTGAAAACTCCTTGATCCCACAATAATCACACAAGATTAGTTTGTAACCTATTTTAGTTCTTCTAAAAACTATTTTTCCAGTTTTCATTATTTTGCATAAATAGAAAATTATTTTATTTTATTTTATTCACAACTTATTTAAAGCTATTTTAAAATATAAAACCACTTAACATTTTTTTTATTAGAATTTCAATAAATAAGAATTTGAAAAAAAATGTTGTATCAATGTAACATTGTGCAATTTTATTAATCATTGTTGAGTGTATTAAAATATATGTTGTTATATTGATCTATTGTTTATATGTTGAGAAACTATGAAAATTTAAGAATTATCAAGAGTTTTAGTCGTTTAAGTGTTTCTTTGAGCAAGAGTCAAGTTTGACTAATAGGGAGAATCACTACGGAGCTTGAGAGTGTTTTCTTCTCCTACTAATCCCTTGAGTGATTAGATTTCCTTCCTAAGTGGGTTTGTGTTGTTCGAGTGGAGATTCTAAGTTTTGGAGGTTGAGAATCGAAGTTGGTGTGGAGCTAGCTCAAGAAACCATTTTCTTCTTCCTTCTCCTTTCTTTTCTCTTAGATTCAAAGGTAAGGGAAGTTAGAACTCCATTTCTTATAGGGGTGAGTATACGAGCTAGCTAGACAAGTTTAAGGTCTAGCCCACAAAACCTGCAATTTTAATGGGCCAGATAAGCCTAACTCGTGAAATAAATGGTCTTTTTTTCATAGTCCATATTTGCCTATGAAGCCTACAGTTAAACAAGCAAGCCCAGTAATTTTTTTTTAAAAAATTCCTTCCTTTTTTTATGCCAATAATATACAAGAGATAAACACATAAAAATATTATATAAAAATATAAACATCAAACAATCTAAAATAAAAAATATGAAATTCTTAACATACAAAGGTTTACACATTTAAACTAAAACATTAAAATATTAACATATCAAACTTGTACATTTAATCTAAAACATATTTATGCATAAAAAAATCTAAACATATTAAGGTAGCAAAAGTGTAATATATTTTAAATATAAAATATACTAAATTTAATATTTATTATTTTACTTATTTATTAACAAAATACTAAAATACTCATTATTAAAATTTCTCATAAAGCTAAGAAAAAACATAATTCTCTTAAACGGACTAGCCCACGGGTTTGTGGATTAAGTTTACAAAATTCATGGGTTTCGCGAGCTAGACTTAATTTCTCCTAAATTTATGCAATTTTTTTTATAAAAATAGGCCCATTAATTGTACGGGTCGTGAATCGGCATGCGGACTTGAGCTCGTATACCTACTCTAATTTCTTGTTGATCTACGTTGTTGCATGAGCTTGAATTTATCTTAATTTATAGTTGTGTTGATGTTATGTGCATAGTTTGGTGTTCTAAAGTATGTTGAAGTGAATTTGATTATTTAGGCCAATTGTTGGTTTCATGTGATGTTTTTGCTTAGAATTCAATTATTTATGATGTGTGGTTACGTTATCTATCACTACATGTCGGATATTCTTGAGTTTTAGGTGTGGAGAGCAAAATTTGTGAATCTATCAAAGTGTAGAATTCATCATTGTGTTGAGTGCAACTTCAAGGCATTGGATGTGACACATGCTAGAGGCTCTCTGCCGCACTGATGTCAGGCACGAGATTGGTAACATTGGGCGTGATATAGATGAGAGCTCTCTGACTTAGTCATGTTGAGCGTAAGTTGAATGACATCGAGTGTGGATGCCTTGGGAGCTCTCTGACTTGACGATGTTGAACCTTAGTTAAGTGGTGGAAGGCGTGATCAAGACAAAGACTCTCAACTTAGATGATGTTGGGTGCTAATGTAGTGACTTTGGGTGTGAGTTAGAAAGAGGCTCTTGGCCTAAACGAGATCAAATGTGGGTTTTGGCCATGCCAGACGTGATTGACCTAGGGGTTCTCTACCTTATTCATGTTGAGCATAAGTTGAGCAGCATTAGGCTTGGGCTAGCAGAGTGCTCTCTACCTTAATGATGTCGGGTGTGGAGAGAAAGACGTTGGGTGTGGGTTGCCTAATGAAAATATGTTGATTATATTGTATAAGTGTTGAAGATGTATATACTAGTTGAGTTTATTACATGTTGTATGTTAACATTTGTTGCTAGTTCTTTATGCATTGATTTAGGATAATGTATATATATATATATATATATATATATATATATATATATATATATATGATCGAGTTGTTGAAAAGTTGTATGTTGAAATATTGAGGTGGTTGTGTTAAGAATGCTTTGGACATTAAGTTGTATTGTGTTAATTGACTTAGGACTAGAGGAAAGATTGTTTAAAAAGTTGAATATCAAATTGTGATATGTTGTGGCAATGTATAAGCCTAGTGGTTGAAAATCCTTCTTGAGAAGTTAACTCTTGAAGTGGATTGTTAAGTCTCTTCTATGACCTTAGTTGATGTAGTATGGGGAAAGGTCAAGTCATACCGTCTATAAAGTGACAAAAATGTAGGGGCTAAGTCAAACTATATTGATTATAAAGTGATCAAATGTTGATCCATATGGGGCTACGTCGAGCCATACATGTACAAAGCGACCAAATAGAGTAAGGTACAAGGTTTGTGGCCAAAATATCTAACTAAGTACTAGAAAGGGGCATAGTATTTAAAGGGTAGTTGATGAGCTAATTTCTAGGAAACTTAGTTATGCATGCTAATGACGTGGTAGACTCATATCCAAGTTGTTAATATTAGACCTTTCTTGTTTAAGTGGCAAAATTTGAGAAATTATGTTGTAGATTCTTATCCAAATTAGATGTTGATCTAGTCGATGTAAAAAGATCGAGTTGTTAGTTAGTTTGGTAAAGTCAAACCACTTAGAATGCTCACCTGTATTGTAAAAGATCTCTTAGTTGATGAATGGTATGGTGCATATATTTTGTTGTTTTTTGTATAAGTTGCAGTGTTCTGGTGTTGTTCAAGTTTTGAATAATGTGTTGTACTATTCATATGCCATGTTGATAAGTGACATTTATTTTGTTAAATAAAATATCCTGTGTTAAGACAAAAAAATGTTTCCTTAAGTTTTAATAATGATAAACAAAATTGGTGTATTGTGTTTGAAATACATGTGTTAATGTTGTATCAAATTCTCTT